CATCAACTTGGTTTCTTGATTTTCAAAATACAAATTCTTTGACTCTTCAGGAACAGGAATTTCACAATAACTGTCATACAGGCAGTTTTATACTATTTAAATAGTTTGAACAAATAGCAGATTTTTTAATAACTTTGATTAAATAAGTATTATTCAAAACGAAATTATTGAACAATTTGAATTAGGAAGGAGTGTATTGATGAACTTATTCAAAATAGTTCTTTGGTAATCTTTATCGCGTGTTCTTTCACACACAAATTCGAAAAGAAAATAATTAATAAACAGATGCATTTTCCCAATTTCATTTTTTTTTCGAATTTGAGCGGCACCAATTAATTAGAAAGATGTCCAAAATGATTGTACCCCAGATTTTGCATAGGAAAAATATGTGATGAAATGTAATACAATCGAACAGTAATGTTGTTCGGTAAATGCCTAAAGGAATACTTAAAAAAATTGAGTCTGGTCATTAACGTGATGATGATCGACAGTCAATTTTGTAAAAGTATACCGTCCTCCAATTTGCTCCGGACAATCATAATTTTGTTCAATATCTTTTGAAATTTTCATTACACAGGATCTGGTATTGTTCGGGGGTCCTTATCCACACATCTAAATTTATCGTTTATGGTTAATTTGTTATAACAAAAGATGCAACAAAATAAATCATGCCAACTATTAATCCAGTGACTGTAAGTTTAATCGTTAAAAATTTTATTACACTCTATCTGTATATCTGAGTCATCGAAAAAAGTTGGCAAAAAATGCAAAAAATGTTGAAGACTGTAGTACTTTTTTGTTATATACTTTTCGTTCTTTAGTTTTGTAGTAACCGTAAACAATAACAGGACCCGGCGGAATAATGCTTCGCCATCATAATAGTGTTAAGGTATTGATTTATAATGTGTGCGAAATTTTTTGCCCATTATCTAAAGCAGGTCAAATCATGCACGTGACTTCAAAAAAAATTTTTTTCTAAATAAAACTTTTCGCCATATATATACAACTTTTTAAATATATGTGCTAAGTGTATTTTGGCCTGCTCTGCAAGTTTACTTAGAGCAAAAATGAGCTGTTCATTTCCGGTCGGTTGGGTTTTTCGGTTGGGTTTCATTTGTTTTGGTTGGCCTGATCTTGTTGTGTAATGCTAGGGATTGGAATCAATTTTACAATAATCGAATTTATCAAAAACCGATAAGAATCGATTTTAAATCAATTATCGAATAAAAATCAAATTTACTTATTGTGGCGTAGTAGCGTTAATAAGATTCCTCTGCGCACCCTACAAGTTTTCGGTTGACAAAAACCTATTTGTCACACATTATTTGTCACATAGTTAATTTCTTAATTTCTTAATGCTGGCCGTTTCGTGACATTTTGGGGTAGTCCATTAATAAGAAGTTAGATTGTTGTCATGTGGCATTAACAAAAATCCAAAAAAAGGAAATTTTGTTGTCCAATGAAATTCAAGTTATGTTATACAAAATTCCCAAAAAGGAAATTTCTTATGTCGATCTTAATAATTTTGATAGTCACGTGACTAAGGTTGCTTGTTTAAACCTCTTCAAAATCCTACGATTAGTTTTGTCAAAATTTTACTATAGATTTATTATAGTTTCGGCAGAGTTTCAGCAGTTTCGGCATTTATAATAAGTTTCAGCAGTTTCGCCTTTCTCTAAAGTTTCGCCAGTTTTTTAATATAACTTTAATATAGTTTCGGCAGAATTTCGCTTTTCGGCGAAACGCCATCTTGCCTAAACCTCTAGGTTTCGGCAAGCAACCTTATACGTGACCAACAGTAGTATAATTAGAGCTCCGCAACCTGACCCGACAGATTGGGTGACCCGACGGGTTGACCCGAAATATTCAGGTCAGGTCATCAAATTCATGACCTGACACGGGTTGGGTCAGTGCTGGTCGGTACCTGACCCGACCCGTTGACCTGACATATATTTGGGTCAAATAAATTAAATAACGCCGAAACTTATAATGATTCCGGCGTTTTTACATGTACAATCGAAAAAAAATGCCAAAACTAGTATCAGTTTCAGCATTTTTACATGTAAAATCAAAAAGAAGAACGCCGGAACTAATTATTCCGGCGTTTTTACATGTAAAATCAAAAAAAAACGCCGAAACTATCAGTTTTGGCATTTTTACATGTAAAATCAAAAAGAAAAATGCCAGAACTAATTATTCCGGCGTTTTTACATGTAAATTCGAAAAAAAAATGCCGAAACTATCAGTTTCGGCGTTTTTACATGTAAAATCAAAAAGAAAAACGCCGGAACTAATTATTCTGGCGTTTTTTACATGTAAAATCAAAAAAAAAACGCCAAAACTATCAGTTTCAGCGTTTTTACATGTAAAATCAAAAAGAAAAACGCCGGAACTAATTATTCCGGCATTTTTACATGTAAAATCGAAAAAAAATGCCGAAACTATCAGTTTCGGCGTTTTTACATGTAAAATCAAAAGGAAAAACGCCGAAACAAATAGTTTCGGCCTTTTATATATAAAAACAAAAGTAAAAAACGTTACAAAACGTTTTTTTACAATATTTAATAATAAAACTTCGGGTAACCCGAGTTACCCGAAGTGACCCGAATACTTTCGGGTCAAATGGGTCGGGTCNGAATACTTTCGGGTCAAATGGGTCGGGTCAGGTCAGAACGGTTTACCCGACCCGACCTGACCTGAAAAAAATTTCGGTTCGGGTTAACCAGGTAACCCGACCCGACCCGACCCGTGCGGAGCTCTAAGTATAATTTTGATTAACGATTAATCAACGATTAATCGATTCAAAAATCGATTCGAATAATGATAATCGATTCCAATCCCTATGTAACGTGACAAAAATCCAAACAAAAAAAACTAAAAAATTGGGTTTTTTTAGTTCAAAAAATAAATTTTGCTAATTATTACAAATTCTTATTTGTTTTCACATATAAATCGAACTTAACTGCAAACTTTCAACTCAATTTACAAAATAATTTTATTCGTAAATTTTGAGTAGTACAAAGTCGACCAAAAAATCAGCCAACCAGAAATGAACAAGGCTTTTGAATGCTATTTTCGATTTATTTGACTTTTCATTTGTTTATCCATTTTTGGATATGATTGGCAAAAATTCTTTTGCTCATATGTAAAGTCACTTTTTTCCTTAAGTAAACTAATAGAGCAGGCTAATATATGCTTATTTTATGATTTTCAAGTTTATATTAAACTTAATTTATAAAAAATTTAGTACACTCATATTATATCTAATCGTGTGATTTGCTCCGCTTTAGACGATCTCCAATTAGAGATTTTTTAAATGAATGAAAAATAAATCCAAATAAATTATGAGAAAAAACTTGATATTCAGCAAATGCTTTTGATTAACTTCCCTTTACGATTATGATTTGATAATATATATATAACCTTACTATACCTACCAAAAATTTTGTTTTTTACAGAATTGTCATAATAAAATAACAAAACGTAATATTATAAATCTAACACCAATATGAGACCTCAAAGCTTACCGCTATTTTCATGTTTTTCTACATGACATTTGTTCTGGTTATTGAAGGTAAAGTTCTTACATTCGGTATTTTCTTCATTTTCTTTTTCTAATAATTCGACATTTTGGTTTGATATATGTAGAATTTGGATAGAAGATTTATATCATAATCGCATAGCTGTAGACGGAATTATTGTTACCATTTTCTAAAATGAAAGTGTTGGTTATTAATAAACTTGAATAAACTGGAAAACTATTACATGCATAACAATTTTACCTTTGTAAGTATTTTTATTATTCTCATATTCTTATTATTCCTGTTGTTTCTATAGTTTCTGTTCATATTTAAGTATCAGAATGATTAAACTTTTTAAGGAAGAGAATAAAAGAAAAGTATAATTTAAGAAAGAGAGTAAAAGAAAGTATAATCTAAAAAAAAAAGTTTAATTTATACTAGATGTATATAATATGTACAATTTTAATTGGATTAAAATCAACAAATGTTTTATCCTATTAATATTAATTAAAAATGAATAACTTTTGTGATTATCTAATACAATATATACATTATTTTGTGGAATCATCTGATTCTAGCAAACATTACTGCATATTTATTTGATTACATATTTGATCATAATTTTTATGTAATCACAAAAAATATATTCTCAATACAATTTTTAGCCAAGTTCTTTATCATTATATTTAATGACTGCAGTAAATTTTTTGCATAAACTACTTTAAAAAATAATAATATGAATATATTTTTTAGTAAGAATTTTCCTGATATCTTTTGCACACTCACTTCACATGATCTATTTCATCCTATGCTAACTTGAGTTTATTGCTTAGTTGAAGTATTGCAGGTAAAATAATATTCCAACTTATCTTGGGAATACGTACAACTTTGCTAATTTAAGATTATAAGGAAGCTGATTTTCATTTTTGCAGTACTATGAGCCATGTAATTTATAATTCCCATGTTTTTCATCACAAATAGAATATGGCAAGTTCTATGACTGAGCAGATACAAAATTATAATTATCAATTCCCCTATAGCTATTTTAGAATTTCAAGTACATGAAATACTCTAACATGGATGATAATTAATTTTGGACCAGGTTTGGCTTTAAAAGTAATAGGCTTGAAATCAAAGGCTTGAGGTTTTTCTGATATATATACTTGTCATGACTTCTGATAGTTTTGATGGCTCATGTTCAGTATATGTTTTATATAAATTGGAGTAAATTTTATCTGTCAAAATGCTTAGTAAACCAGTTAATTTGGTATATCTAATCCAGATATTTGAGAGTTAATACTTTATCAGACTTGGTTATATTGCCTTTTTCTATAATTGCAAATTAATCTAATTAGGTAATAGCTGACATATGTATAAGTTACAAAGTGACCTGACTATACAACTATTTCAATTTTACACTGTTCACATTTAATAAAATAAAATCCAGCTTTATATATACCTTCTATGCTTTCCACATCATCATGCTTTAACTGCATAATGGGCATGATGTCTTGTTAGTACTCCATAATAATCAAAATTTTCGCTACTAAATTCTCTATATAAATTATTAGGATATTGATCCAATGTCTTGTTACAAAAATAAGTACGATCATAAGTTTGATTAGTCCTAGGAATTGGTGATCGAGATGCAGGTGAAATATTTACTCCAGACTTTGAAGATGCATTAGGTGCCTGTTCTATATGAGAAGTATTAGTATGTGACAACTCAGAATTTTTCTTATCACTTCCTGAACTGAGATCAGGATGTGACAATTCAGATTTTTTTTCATCACTTAGTAAACCATCTTTCGGCCAAGCACAGTCGGACGATTCTATTTTAATGCTGTAGTCAACTGGCATGTTATCTATAATATACTGAATGTCCTTATTTGTCATTTTGAAATACTGCTAACAGAAAAGGAACGAATTCGATAAATTTTATCCATACCTATTGCGTCAAAGAGCTTCCAGAGTTTCTTAGCCTGTTCGATTCTCTTCCATAAAAGTGCATCAGAAGTATCTCCATATTTAAAAATTCAACTGACAGCATTGGATTCCAGATCAACTTGTTTTTCAGATGCTATCTCACCTCGTCTCTGGATAAGAGCTTTCCCAAATTGACAGTAACATATAATAGCTTCTTGGACTGCACGATCAGCAAAGTCCTCAGCATTGCGAAGTTTTTCATATAAACGTGCAAAACTTGAGGAATCTACCTTTTTACATGGGTTAGAGAGTATAACCTGTTGTTGTTCGGCTGAGTCAGTATTACTCTGACAAATCAGAAGGGATTCCAGACACTTCCTGAATAAATTTTTCCCTCTGATTTTTCTTCTGTAAAGATCTTTTATCATCTGAAGTTAAGTCTTGTTTTTGAAGCTTTCTTCGCCTTATCCCATCACTAACACTTTTCTTCTGCACTGAGTATAAGAATTCATCAGTCTTTCTATCTTCTTCGCAAAGTAAAGGGCTGGCGTTATTAGGATGATCTACAGAAAGGTTAGGTACATTGTTAACTTCCTTGGGAGATCTTGGGTTTGTTTGTTCTCCTCATTATCGTCCCTTAATTTCAATACTTCAGCCTTAAGCTCTGCAATTGCATCATCACGTTTAGCATTCTCGCCAGCAATATCTGACCTACTCTTCTCCAACTCCTCGATTCTACTTCTGAATTTGGTCCTCAGCTTCAAGCTTGGCGTTCCTTGCCTCAAGCCCGATAATCTTAGCCATAAGTCTGGATTTTCTTCTTTAAGTGAACTAATATCCTCGGACTGCATATTCGATAATAATTTTTATACACTGTATATAAATATTCAAAATCAGTTAAAAAAAATATATGATCACGTGTTTTTTTTCCTGAACTCGGTTCAGGAAGTTTGCCAAGATTTTTTTTATTAATACAGAGATAAAAAAATAAATACAAGTCGGGCAAGCCCACAATACATGATGATATTTCTATGCTAATGACTGTGAACTTATACCGCCTATTTTTTCTTGATTATCTCTTCTACACGGCGCTTCTTATTTGCGGGTTTATCACTAGCTGATACCCTATCTTTTAACAAACCCACTATAACTTCCAAAACCCTCTTCACATTCTTGCGTAATTCGGTTGGATTTTTGATGGCGTCTTCCGTTAGTGAGATTCGATACTCGGTCTTACTTACTATGTAGGATGAAATACCAGACCGTGGCTAACACTTCACTAGAGTCTTTTTCTCACCTGTTGTGACAATGCCATATACATATTCATACTCATAGTCGAATGCCACGTCCGCTTTTTCTTAAGTTCATCTATATCAATAATGTCAGAATACTTATTATACTATCGCTATTTATGTCATATTTCGCTAACACCTCACTCAAACTCCTGTACAAGGAGAACGCACGCTTCGGCTTTTCTTTGAGGGTCTTGCGAATCTCATGGCAGGGCCACCTTTTAAACCATAACTATGAAATTTTTCTTCGGTCATGTCAAGAAAGTCTTGGCCGGTAATTTTTTCGTTGCGTAGTCATCGTCGTCGAGCTTGAGGTTCTGTTCTTCAAGTGTATGATAAGGGTTTCTGTAACCCAGTTCTCAACCAAGTAAGAGTCGTGTTCAGCTGTTGAGGTAGACATAGCGCTTTTTATATGGTTATTAGGCTCGGACAAAAAATAGTGTTACGTTCCGGAGTGAGATAAAAATTTATTTCTGTTCGGGAAGAAAATACTGGGCGTTAATGTATGTTTTATGTCGCACAGGCATTACATCATAAAATAATACTTTATTTATGAAATAAACCAGGAAGCGGACAATAATACATAAAAAATTGCGAATATATCGCTATTACATGACATAAATATAGATAAAAAAAATTCTAACTACTCGTTAGGGAAGAATTCGGATGTGGATACGGTCTTCATCATTAGGTGTCCCATTGAAATAGGAGAAAATCCTGTCTTCTGTTCGCATAGGCTTCTCCACAGGATAAATTTGACGGAGGAAATCATTACGATCGATTGGCTCCAACTACTTTCTCACTTCATTTTCAAGTTCAAAGGCTTGATTTGTCCTTAGAAATCTCGATCACGAAATTTATGTTCTTATTTTCCGCATTACGAAAGCGGAAGTTAAGATTGATATTATCATTGTCTGCACTAGAAGACATCTTGTTTTCCTAAATATAAGGTCCATAGTGAGAAAACTCGCTCCCAAACATACATAACTTCTGATATATATGATACACACCTTAAAAAATTTGCGGGGAAAATTGGCTGAACTTCCACATACTCCTACATGCTTTATATCTTGCTAGGGAAAAGTTAAGGAGATAAGAAGAATGATTAGCATTGTCGTCTGATGCCAAGAGCTTCATGAAAGCACATGCAAATAAAAATTTCGTACCTTTCACAATGGAGAGATCCTTTGGGATCAGATCTACCGGAGAGACACATAGTTGGTCTTAACGCCTGGCGATCTCAAAATTGCGAAGTCCTCAGCCTTTCATAACATATGCTTTTGACGTTAATATTTACTTTTAGAGTAGGTCCTGTATTGCGTGTGGATTTTCTTTCACATTTTTCTCATGTTTGTTTGGGAAAAAATAAGAATAGGAAGTTATTCGCTTGATATTCACCCTGTCGCACAGACCTGCAGTGTGATCATCATAGCACATTGCCTATCTTCCGTACTATCCCGGTCTTGTATTATTCGAACTGCTTGGGAAATTAGAATCGGAAATATCAATCGGTAACGGCTTGATCACATCATTTTTTAATAATTTTACAAAATCCTTTATATTACTTGGTCCTTTCTTCTACTTCATTATGATGGCGCTCGCTTTCCATTCCTTGACTGCGGAAGTTAGTCTAAAAAAATATCCAATGAATAATCACTGAATCGGACTGCTCGGGTTGGATTCCTTCTTGGTTTCGCCTTCTTATTGCCGGATTTTTTATTCACATGCATTACTTTGAGAATTTCTTTTCCGGTTTGATAAGTGCGTTGCATGGCGTATAATCTGATTCATTCACTATTGTAATAGCTTCAGCTGAACTTGACTCGGATGAACTGGACTCAGATGATTCGGTCATAGCATCATATAGATAATAGATTTTTCGGCCAATGTTTTTAAGATTTTGATGTATTTTAGTTACATCACATTCTAACGCTTCTATATTTTACTATTTCTTTTTCTTGCCCATAGAACATTCCATTGCAAAGCATATAGCTTTCGATCTCCACCTGTTTTTTAGCTTCCTCGAGTTCCCTTTTGCTATAAGACTCCCATATTTCGCAATGTAAATATCCTTGCATGAATTCATCATTAGAATATTTTCTCTCTACCTCTTCCATTTCTAACTCCTGTTCGTGTTCCAATTTATAATATTCTAGCACTTGTTTCTTCCATCTTCTCCGAAACTCATGCTGGTTTTCTTTGTACCAAGTTCTATTTATCCAGCAGAACTTATCAAGATTTTCTAATGGAAGCTTTTGAACAATTTCAGCAATTGTATCTGGTTCTTCGAGTGGGTTGTATGAATACATTGTTTATACTTTTCGGTATAATAAGGTTAGAAAAAAGTTCAATTTAAAAAATATTTCTCGGAATAAAAAAAAACGCTTATCTCAACTTTCCTGATACTAGTCCTGATTATCGTCGGGCTATTCCTCTTTTTGGGTATAAGTTTTGGAAATTGCTTATTAATGTCCTCTCTAATCCGTAAACAATCCCTAATTACTATCATTTCCAAACTAGGGGCCAGTTTTGGTATTTTTGTAAATGTTTTCGGCTAAAGCCTCTTATTGAGAGTGTTTTTAAATTGGGGCACTCAGCTAGAAGCTCTTCTAGATTTTTTATTGTTTAAGTATACGCAACCCACAATTTTCAAAACTTAGCCGTTGTAAATTTAGACATGCCTTACACACTTAGGAATGTAGACATCCGGCTCTATATTTATTTCAATAAATTTTAGACCTAGCACTTGTTCACATGCGACTGGCTTAGTATTCCTACTCAATGCCTTAGTAAACTTGACCCCGGAAATGCCTGTTAGAACTATTCTTTGCCATATTAATCTTTTAGCAATAAAGTACCATTGCTTATTAACAAATAAAAGTGGATACATTTTCTCGTCCCTATTCTTTCAATGATATTAGAATATTCTTTCGAGAATCTCATTTGGCAAAGATATATAACAGATGAGAGTTTTTTCTGATTTCTCAGTTGGCGGAGGAATTATTTCATCAACTTTAGATTTATCACATTTTTTATCGTCACGATGCCTGATTTTGCAATTTTTTAGATCACTCTTCCTGCCTTCACATCTTTCTATCAGCTGTTCTGTATTTTATCCAACAATAATAAATCCATCTGTGTGAATATGCTTTACACGACCCCAGAGTGATACTAGCATTTGCTTGGCCACTTTTCCTGCTTGTCCACCCTCTTCCTTGATCTTTATAACTTGCCCATTGATAGAAAATATTATAACCGCTCATGAGTCAAATATTAGAGCATTAGGACTTTCAGAGGATAATTCTATGTGAAGATCTAGTTTCATCGCTAATTTCAAGTCATAGTGAGTGTAATATCCTGCAGGATTATAACAAAATCCTCTTATACATTTTTGATTTGTTGGCTGACCTTTTATAAAGGCTCGATATATACTGTATTCTAAATTATAATAATTAAGTTTATGTGTGATTGTTTTGAATTTTCCTGCTCTTATTGGCCAGCTTGCATCATCATAAGCCAAGATATTTGGATAAAATTTATTAAAGTCTAATTTAGTCACAATTCCTTCATAAGGCTCAGCCTATACTAATTCTTCCATGTAAGCTGATTTTATACAATGATCTTTTTCTGACAATAAGTTTTCTGCTTTTCTGGGAACTCTAGAGACATCTTGAAAGAAACGCAAACTTGCTATAGCATATGTTCCAGTTTTTTGTAAATGAATCTGTCCTCTACCCTGCCATTCAATTGCACTGGCTTCTTTATTATGTTATTTATATGCTTTCTGAAGTATCTTATTTGGTTTGACTTTAATTAAAAACCAGTCTCATGTTAATTTTTAAAATCATTTTTGGAGCCAATCCATTATATTGAACCATCATAGAACTCAATATGTAAACCTTGCTTTCTCAGAATAGAAATCTTCAGATAGCTAAATACCATTTTATATCAGTATTTTGGGTATTTTGACAAGTTAAAGTGGTCTCATAGTTGCTATCTCCCTTTCCCTTTTTCTCTGACCTTTCTTCTGGTATTAATGACTTAAAAGGTTCAGGTGATATTAGATCTCCTCAGTTTGGTAAGAGATTTTTGAACAATCAACCTATTGTGATAATGATAGCACTTATATTTTCTCAAGAATTATATAGTATTAGAAAAAAGTTTAAAATAAAAATTATTTTATTGAGTTAAATATTTATTCAAAAAAAAAAACTATGGTAGGATTTTATCTTTACCCTTTATATTATATCTTACAAAGTAATGCAGTTTGCAATGAAGGATGTTATCACCCAAAAGGGTATAAAGTTCATTGGGATTCTTCTAATTGGATTTCCTGTATAAAAAAATTAACTTTTTCTATTTATAATGTATATAGAAAACATTTGGGCAAGTATCAATTAAAAAAATTTTTATCAGCAACGAAAGCTTACAAAATTCAGGCTAGTGATGAGAAAGATTTGGAAATAGACTTATTTGAAAATAATCTCTGAGCTTAATTTATATGTACATTTATATTACATGATTTTTTTCATATTTTGAATTCATGTTTCGTACTTTTAGTACTTTACAACTCTGTAAATATTATTTGTTTTCATATTTTATGTATATACTTCACATCTTTGGTACTCTGCAATTAGTATTCCTAAAATTCAGATTAAATCAGAATTTTAGCAATCTGATTTGAATTCAGTATCCAATAACCCTAGAAATATAAAATTACCACCATTTGATGCGTCTTAATAAGAAGAATCTGATAGAAATAAAATTGTTCTACTACAAATATTATGTGACAGGATAACTTATAAAATCTAAAAATTTATAAATTAATATAACTTTTTATCTATCAATTTTAGAGTTATGATTTTATTACTATTAAATGCACCTTAATAAGAGGAATCTAACAATTTTTCTATGATCACTAGATCTTAAGATATTTTAAAAATTCAAAAAATTTTAAAATTAATTTTAACCCCTACAGTTTAAGGGATAACATATAAAGTCTTCTGCCAGTATTTTTTTAAAAATGAAAATCTTATCTTTCCCAGCGTTGCCCCAAGATTTTTCATCTCCACGTGACCTGCATAAAATGTCACACTGTATCACACCCCACCGTTTTCATTTTTTCATAAGTGTTCTGGAAACAGAAAATTTTTAGTGGTGAAAAAAAAAAATTTCACGCCCCTTAAACATCACTGGTCACGCAGGAGTGAAATTTTATTTAGAAATCTTGGGGTGATACTGGGAAATCTTAACGAAGTCATGTGTTCAAAATGATCGACATAATTAATGTATAAAAAAGGAGATGCGACATATCGTGCGAAAAAAAAACATATTTCATTCCGGCTAAGGTGGTGCATATTCCATTTTAATTTCAGTCAAGACTGTAACTGAAATTAAAAATTCTAACTGGATTTGAAATTCAGTTACATTAATTTCAGTGGACATCATAACTGAAATTAAAATCTTTCAGTTAAATTTTAATTTTGATTATAATATTATCTGAAGTTAAAATTTTCTGAATTTCAAATTAAATGTTCAGACATACAATAATTAACCAATCAACTATTTCTAAATTGAGATAAATTTTAATTTCAAATATAAACCATTTAACTGAAATTTAAATTCAGACATCTGAAATTGAAACTTCAATTTCAATTAATTGATCGTCAAATTTTAATTTCATATATTGAATTTAAAGAGCTTATTTCAGTTACAACATCAAAATTAATTTATTTGTGCAATCGATACATAAATAGTTTCAATAATCTGTCCATTTGATGCCGATATTGCATCTTGATTTGGGACCGATTTGCGTCATTAATTGAACGCAATCGCCATTCTCCAACCAGTATCCAATCAGAGCCAAATAAGGATGGATATCGATCAGATATTTTAGATAGACTGAGTAAGATTTACAATGCACAAAAAATCCTAAAACCCCCGAGATGTGCGAAATTTTTTGCCAATTTTTTTGAATGGACGAAAAATTATTATTTGAAATCTATTCGAAATAGGTTTTAGAACCAAACAAATTATGAGAATTCAGCAAATTCTGATTAACCTCTTTACGATTATGGTTGATAATAATTAAAAAAAGATATATAATTTTACTATGCCCACCAAAAAATTTTATTTAACACCTCAAAACTTTTACCTTCTACCGCTATTTTCATGTTTTTCTACATGAAATTTACTCCGGTCATTGAAGGTAAAGTTCTTATATTCGGTATTTTCTCCATTTTCTTTTCTAATGATTCGACATTTTGGATTGATATATAGCATATAGTGTCAGCACGCATAGCTGGTAACGGAAAGGATTCGATGGTGACTATAAAAACATTGATTTTCCAGATCAAGAGTACTACCATTTTCCTGATGTAACCTTTTCCGACAACAATTTTCTGACAGGACAAATTCCTGAATGGACATTTTCCCGAAAAGAACTTTTCCCAACATGATATTGCCTCGACATGACAATTTCCCAAAATCAAATTACGAAAAATGATTTACAAAAATAGTTGATTTTACTGCGAAAAAAATAAAAATAAAAATAATGATTCATATGAAAAACTTTTTCAGCAAAATTCGAAATATAGTGGACACTTGAAAATTTTGATTGTCGGGATTGTGGTTACTCGGCTAGTCGGGTTATTAGTAGTGTTGCGATTCGGATGAATCCGTCATCCGTTCAATCCGAAAATAAATGGATGATCCGGATGAAAAAAGTTATATGTATGATCCGGATGATTCGGATCTAATCCATTACAGTAAAACATAGAGATAACAGATAACGGATTGGTCCGGATGTATGATCCGATGATCCAGATGATTTTCGAATCGGATAATAATTAAAAAGAATTCAAAAAAGAATTCATGAATATTTTTTTTACCGCCATAAATTTTCAAACTTTGTTACATATCCCAAAAATTTTTACATGTTAAATTAGGTTACGGCATAATTTCCCAACATCCATTTTCCCAAAGTAACCTTTTTCCGACAATGATTTCCCAACAGGTCATATTCCCAAAAACAATCGACAGTAATATGACTATAATTTATTATTGTTCCCTTTATGGTAAATGCCCGAAAGACCCCGAAAAATACAAAAAAACTCGGGGGAATAGTATCAATTAGAAATGACGCGGTGGGGACAAACGGAAATCCCAATTTTTTACAAATTACACTATAATGTCATCCGTCAATAAGAATATATATGGAATCCATTTAATTTAAAATAAATGCCAAGAACACAAAAAAAAATAAATAAATAAATATCATAGAAGCATATTGAGAATCACAAAAATCCCG